GGAAATAAGGTATCTTGGGTTCTGTTCAGTAGTAAAGGGAGAATAGAAGGAGGGATTGATAGACGGATCAGTGCGGCCGCCTCTAGAATATGGTCGCTGCACCAATCTGATGCTGTAAAGAGAGAGCTGAGCAAAAAGCCAAAGCTTTCCATTTACCAGTCGGTCTACGTTCCTACACTTACCTATAGTCATAAGATCTAGTTATGACCGAATGATCAGATACAAGCAGGTGAAATAAACTTCCTCTGCAGAGCAGCTCCTATACAGATAGGCTGAGGTCATCTAGAAGAGCCGTTTACATCAGGAGTAAGCTGGAGTGGCTTAGACATCTTATCTGAGAATGTGCTGATTGACTCCTGATGTTTTTGCTTCACCCTGTAATTGAATTTAACAAAACAAAAAAAAGTCCAATGGAGAATCACGCTGCACGGTGAAGGTGGTTGTTGGACAGCAGGGCTGTTACAAATCATTGTTTTAGTCCTCTTTCTGCAGGATTATTTATTTATGCATATGTAGCCCTTTGATGTGCTGAATAAGGACATTGTTGAACTTTTTTTTTAAGGACACTGAAGTTCTATTAAACATTTTTCTCTAAATCAATTCAATTCAGTTTATTTATATAGCCCCAATTAACAACATGTCATCTCAAGGCACTTTACAGTTCACCAGATCATCCAGTCAAATTGATTGAAAGTTTTCTAAGGAAAACCAGTTGATTGCATCGACTCATTGAATCAAAGGCAATCCCTCACACTAAGCATGCTTGTAGTGACAGTGGAGAGGAAAAACTCCCTTTTAACAGGAAGAAACCTCCAGCAGAACCAGACTGGGGTTGAAGGAGACAGAAGCAGAGATACAAAAATGCAACTGTCAACCAGCTCCAAAGGCGGCCCCAAACAGCCAGACAGACAAGCTCTGAGCCAGCTCTCATGTCAGAGGATGAGGAGAGCCCATCTAGCCAGTCACAGCCAAAGAAACAGGACTTCACTGAAAAAATGATCTCCAACATCTATAAACAAAGGTGTTGATGGCAGCAGAACAGCAGATATTTCTCTCCAGAATGGAGTAGAGATTGAACTAACAAATTCAGCAGAGTGGGAGAACAGAGACAGAATGAAGCAAAATGATGAAAGAGGGGTCCCTATGTCCTCCAGCAGTCTAAGCCTATAGAAGCATAGAGATAGCTCGAAATAAACTGAGACATTCTAACTATAAGCTTTATTAAAGGGGACGTTTTCTTTAAAAGCAGACAGGGTGTCTGCCTCACGGACTAAAACTGGAAGTTGGTTCCACAGGAGAGGAGCCTGATAACTAAAAGATCTGCCTCCCATTCTACTTTTAGAAATTCTAGGAACCACTAGTAAACCTGCAGATTAACTTTTAGGAACATACGCACCAATCATATCTCTGACATCAGATGGAGTTTGGCCGTTTAAGGCTTTATATGTGAGAAGGAGGATTTTAAATTCTATTCTGGATTTTAACATGAAGCCAATGAAGAGAAGCCAGGATAGGAGAGATATGATCTCTCTTTTTGTAAAACTGGCATTCAAAAGTAGCAACATCAAATGCCAGAACAGTTCAATTCCGTTTAATCAATAAAAGCTGCTGGGACATCCAGCATCCAGCAGGCTGAGAGACAAGAACCCAAATAAAATAAAATGATGATGAATGCATTCCCTTTTCATTTTCATTATAACTGTATTTAATGTGGTACAGCAAGCAAAAACTGGTCTCCGATTCTCCATATTATATAACGAAATTTGATGGGGACAACAATTGTTTCTCTTATTTTCATCGTACGTTTCAGGTTGCAAAATGAATGATACTTGGATTCAAAATAGAAAAAGATCTATTGGTCTAATTGATTTACAGTTTATGTTAGATTTTATTTTGCGCCGCATATGAGCAGTGTGCAAATTGCACGAGTGTGTAGTTTCAAGGGAATATTGGCGCTCTCACCAAGCTTCCCATTAAGGAGCTGGAAGAGATGTCTATGGAGAGGAAAGTCTGGGAGTCTCTGTTGAGACGGCTCTGATCATGAAAGCTCTATTCTTTTCCTGAAGTAATCCTTTTATTTCAGGGTTCATCCAGGGCTTGCGGTTTGAGAAACCACTTACTTTCCCAAAGGGCATAGTGTTGTCCACAACAAAAAAATAATAGTTTTATCAACTTTAAACTGAAAGTCCTTAAAGCCTCCTTCTCCTCAGGTCATTTCTTCAATGTGCAACACAACCTTTTTCATCTGTTCAAGGGGTTTATACAATAAATAAGCTGGAGGCAAACAGGTTATGATCTGAGGTCCTCGTGGGCAATTTGCATACAGTAGCAGCCATTCAAAATGGCCCCTTCCCAGTCAAACCCCAGCAGTCCACTTCCCTCCAACTTCCAGCCACTGGAGTGACCCCCCCACCCCCCGATGCATATTTTTTTTACTCAGACTTCACGCTGAATTCACTGAATTACACGGTCTGACCAGGAGATGATGCTTCTCTTTAGATCTTATTGGCCACAAATCATGACAGAAAGAACATTTTATTACAAATATCGATTGTAGGGGACCAGCCAAGGGCCCATTTAGGAAAGTGGACATTCTGAATGGCTACCACTGTTTATTAACATCAGTGTTTTACTGCATCTAGTGATACAGGTAATAGTGTGGTGAGGGTGGAAGACAGACAGTTTGGCTGTCCAGGGTCCTGATCTGAACATGATGGAGCACCTTTAGAGCAGTGAGAGCCAGATCATGACCTCAGAAACTTTTGGAAGGGTCAGAGGTCAGAAACACAATCCCAAACCTTGCCGTTTATGTGCGAGTGAAGGAAGGGAAGAAACTATTTGGTAAATCAGGTTTTTATCAGTTTTTATGAACATGAATGATGGCTTATAAAATCCCAAAGATGAATTAGAATAAAACGATGCCAATAAAGGAGAATTGCTTTGGTTACACAATCCTGAGGGAAGACAGCTACTCTTAAGTATATATTTCTATATTTCAATTCCATAAATTTCCAGACTGAATTTCTCTCATCTTCTTTAAAAAAATACTTCCAAAGATCATTCATCTGAAATTTTAATGTTAGACCCAGAAGATCCAGAGACTATGAAAAAATGATTTATAAAGAACTTTTAGACAGAACAATTGGGATAAAAAAAATCCATTAAACTGTGATGATGTAGACATTAAAAAAAACATTGTATTATTTGTTTTTACCATCTTTAGTTTTTTTCAACTTTCATGGTCATTTAAAAAAACAGTAGTGGTTTAAATATTTATTGAGATGCTTTCGCAACTCCAATATCTTCAGGAGCAGACTTGCCACGGAGGTTGCCAAGGCAACCTCAACTCATCATGTATTTGCTTCAGTGTAAAACATCTAAAATCATTTTCTGTGGAAAATGAAAATCTTACAAGCTAAGATGCAACCAAAATGTGTTTTAAAATGCTTTATTAATATAGAAAGGGGGGCAGATTTTGTTGATTAATCTTTTAAATAATTTCATTCAAACTAAAATGCAATAATCTGCCAGTGCAGGACAATTACACATGGGAAGACTTTTTGTTTTGAGAATATAATTTCAAGAAATCTTGCAAAGATGAATTCTTACTGCACTGGCAGATTACTGCATTTCATTTCAGTGGAGTCTTCTCAAAGATGATTAATAATCTAACAGAATCTAAGATCTTGCTTAGCAGGTTAATCTTCAAACAAGATCAAACACTTCTTGGACAGATCCAAAATAGAAAGTCTTTGTACTTGATTTTCCTTTCCTGACATAACAGGGTTAGGGCTAATCAACTAGCAAACACAGAATTAAAAAAATAGTGTATTTGCCCTTAATTTCAGCAGGTAAATCAGGTAATCTGCAAATGGAAGGACTATTTTTGCCCTTAAAATATATTTTGCATTTAGATTGAGACATTGTTGTTTTTCTCTTATTTTAAACATCTTATTCCACATGCTAAAGTTTTATAACTTACTTGCTCAAACTAAGGGAAAAAATTACTTCCTGTTATTTTAACAGGAAGTACTTTACTGTTATTGGCAGTAAAGAAGGTGAGTTTATAAAATAAAAGCAATGTGACACGAGGCAACACAGAAAAAAGATTTTATTCTTGAACTGTTCTTACAAGCAGTCCAACACGCAACTTTCTATCTCAAAAAACAAAACAAAAAAAAATCGTTGAAATAAAAGAAACTTTAGAATATTCACTGAATAATATTACCAGTCAGATAGCTTTTTTTTTTTTCCTTTTACCATAATTTGAGGAACCCAAAAGCAGTAGTATTTGTGGCGTGAGAAAACAAGAAGAGTTTCAGACGGGTGTAAACTGGAGGTTTTCTAAAGTAAGCCTCGGCTGAAAGCTGGACGTGTGCGGAGGAGAGACGGGGCTCCTCGTGCACACAATAAATATGAAGGGAAAAAAAAGCACAGAGTCTGGTGTTTGAACAAAAAATAATCATCTGGAACTTGCAGGTACAATATCTCTAAGAAGTCTTTATGTGCAAGATTTCGAGCTGAAGTCATCACCACAAACAATTATACTCACATCAACATCCCCGACCTCCAGTCATTGTTTTCTACATTAAATCTTTTAAATAAACCTAGAGCGTTTTTGTCATTTCATATACACATATATTTATAGATACTTTTTCTCCTATATGCTGTCCTTTTTTTAAATCGTATTGAGCGCGTGTCCCAGCGAGAATCTGTGACATAAAAGTAAAACGTCCACCGGATGAGGATACGAGTCATTAATGAGGCTCGGTACGCTCCAGACTCGCATAACATACAGTGTGGAGGGGAAAAAAAACAAAAAACCAACAACACAGAACTGGGGATGTGTGTGTGTGTGTGTGTGTGTTCAGAATCACCACGGCAACATGGTGGAAAAACCAGACCTGAACACAAACACCAGCGGAGAAACGTTTGGTCACAGTTTTGTACCCTTTCCAACGACACGTCCACCTTAAGAGTCTGTGGGAGTGGATCCAATCGATCGGGCTGCTGATGCGTTTGTGGAGAGAAGCGTCCAAACTGTCCTGCTAGTTCCACTCGTTCATTTTGAAAACAAAAAAAAAACTATTTGGCACATTTAACAACTGGTAAGTAACACATCGGGCTAAAAAGGTGCAATAACAGAACTTTCAATGAAAACAATAAAAACATTTGGTTTACAAAAATAAAAGACACCTCAAGAGGTGGCAAAAATCTCTACAACATAAGATTTCCCCTGACGATAAAGGCTATGTGTAAAAAAAAAAAAGAGCAATATACCGAAATCAACCCTTTTTCTACTGAAGCTTTTGTATTACAGCTCTGCAAATCTTAAACGCCACAGACGGAAACATCGTACTGCATAAAAATCTAAAAGCCCTGAAATCACAATAATTTCTCCTCCTGCTGTTCGTCCTGTAACACTGCGTGACACCCTGTCCAAGAAAAAAACGTAAACTCCTTCAGCCTGGCCTGATTCACCCATAATCAACGGGAACCATGGTGGATTTGTTTTAGGTAAAATGAAAAGAATCAAAGGCGACTAAATGAGCTGAACTTTAGCTTCATCTTTATCGCCTCTGCTCCAGATATGGCAACAAAAAAAAACGTCAAACCGAACATCTGCAGCAACGAGCCGACTCCTGCTTTTAAAACGGCGTGCAGTATTTCAGGATTCCCTGTACTTTGGATAGTTAGGACATGCAGCTTATGCTCGTGACATTACAGAAAAATCAAAGATAAAACCAAGCGAAACATCTTAAAAGCGGGGATGTTTCAAACTAGACACAGAGGACGAAAAATTACAGGCAGAGAGATAGAAAAATCGAAACTGGATTTAGTCCAAGTCGGACCTGAGAGAAGTCTTCAAGCTTCCATGTGGTTGAAAAACTTCATTTTTCAGCACATTTGGCTGAAAGCGACAAACCGAACAAATTATTAAAGCAGCATCTTCTGACAACTTCTACACTGAAGAGTGTTAAGAGTGAATGAGCGTGGAACAGGTGTGTTTTTGGCCTTTCAGGGGGCGGAATGACGGCTTCAACCACAAGGTTTGCGATTTCAAAAAATTCCTCATCTGAGCAAAAGACCCTTCTGTTTTTGAGGCTTTTATTTTGTATTCTAAATCAGCTAATAACTCCTTTTAAACCTTCATGTAGAAGAATTCAGGGAACTCAATAAAAAACTCCAACTAGACAACCGCTAGAATTAGCTGTTGCTGCTAAGGCTGCAGACACCATTTCACAGTTTCTGAAGCTTGAACTGCATTTCCTTTTCAATTTAAAATACTTGATCAAAGCGGAATATGATCTTTTAGACTCTGAAACTACGGACCCTTTATTCTGCTTCTGAGAATCCAGAAAGGAAGCATTTCAGTCCTTTTGAAGGAGGCGGACCGTCTTCAAACTAGACGAGGCAAAAAAATCAACAACAAAAAAACAGGCAACACAGCCCGGTCAAACATTTTCTTATTTCTTAGAACAAAGTCGGTGATTTGTGAAACTTTTTGTACCATCACGGTGAACAAAAACAGATAAAGGGGAACTTTAAAGTTTATTAAAAATACAGCTAAAAATATTGTTGCTAAAGTTGGAGGTTTATTGTTGAACCGGAGAAGTTTCCGTGTATCAGATGGGTGTTATTCTACTGGCTGGTTCTACTTTTTCTCTGCTTTACCTCCTTTTCTCATCCACCTTTTCCGTGTAAACCCAGCAGGATGTGATCACGTGGTCTGAAAACTGCCCCCCCCCCCCAGTACAATGCAAACACAGTGGACTTTAACATTGATGCACAGAGAAAGGGTTGCTTATATACACTGAATATGCTCTGCTCTGCTGCAGGCCTACATCCATGCTTATGCATCCCCAGGTACATTGGTCTTCCTGTTTCCCCTGGCAACCCGTTGCTGTTTGACAGCCAATGGAATCTCGGTCACCATGGAAACAAGCTGCACAGGAGCCTATCTGAAGAGAGTCAGTGGTCCTCTTTTCCAGGACTGGAATGATGAGCTGTCGCCAAAGAGGGGTGGGGGTGGGGGAGGGGGGCGCTCCATCCGGCCGCTCAGGTGACTCAAGTAAAACGTCCATGTTGGCACTTTGCACACTTCAGTAACTGAGAAGGAGGGGTGAGAGGATAAAGTTGAGCAGCAGGTTTTCCTCTGTTCAGTTTCCCCGGTAGCCCCGCCCCTTCCGCATCCCCCTGGGAGGAGTTCTCCCCTTTGATTGGACCTCCTGCTCATCTGATCCAAAGGCTTTTTCATTCGAGCCTCTCAGGATGTTTTAGAGATCCAATCAAAGGGAGGCTGGAGTTCCTCTCCCTTCTCTCTGGGACTGGCAGAGTGGCGTCAATGAAGAAGAAAATGAAACTAAACCTCCTCCTCTTCATCGTGGTGTCAGTGTTGGAATGAGGCTGCTGAGTCCGTACACACACCGTGTCGTGGTGAAGTTGGGGCCGATGTCTTGTGGAAATGAGTTGGTGCGCAGTGTGTGTGTGTGTGAGTGTGTGTGGAAATGCATGTGTGCTCGTTGATTCACAGCCCGTTGCTGTTGCGGTGTGTGAGAGGAGGCTTGGAAAGCTCCACCACGCCGCCTTGGCCTTTGCCGATCACTTTGGGGGCGCGGCGCAGCAGCTTCTGTGCTTCTGTGAAAGCCTCGTTCAGCTCTTTCTTCCACTGCACAAACTCAGGATCACTCTGGGGAAGGCAAAGGAAACAAGAATCAGCGCTCAGGTTCCCGGAGCTTCAACATGGACGGAACGGAACGGCCTCCCACCTCACACTGAAGAACGAACTGCTTCCCTCCTTTGATGCGCAGCAGAATGCATTTCTTGTCTTTAACCTGCGTTTCCTCAACCGTCACGATCTGCTCCATCGTCAGCAGGTTTTGCTTTGGAAAGAACAGAAAGAACATTAAGGTGATGTTTCCCTGAGAGCAGCATTCATGCCGATTGGTCCAACATTTCAGATGGAAAACCAGTTCCTGACTAAAGACCCGTCCATGGTGGAAATGACAGGAAAATCTGCCACCATATTGATAGGCCTTACCTCTTTACAGTAAAACCACAAACTTTACTGAATGTAAGTGAATTATACTAGAGGCACTCGTACCCCTAGTGGTCCACAAGTGCATTGCAAGCACTGATCTCTATTTATTCACCAGATTGCTGAAAGCCTGAAAACAGTGAAGCCAGTGGTCGCAATATTGGAATTTTCCACTCCCACGGAGACACGCCATAAGTATGCCTATGTTTGTAGCATTTGGCTGCAAAAACAAGCAGCTTGCTGGCTGTGGGAAGATGTTCCACGGGTAATTTTCCTGTCAGTGGATGAACTAACCAAGGAAATCCACATATAGGCCGATGTATCCCA